ATAAAAATTTGGCAGACATAAGTCCTAGCCTTAGATTTGTCTCCAGCAGCTACTCCCAGACCTTGACCAGGTCCTGCTTGCTTTAGCAAAGTCTCGATGAGAGAACATAACATTGTGATTTTGCTGATATCAACCTGAAAAAATAAGACTTATTAAAACTATCTGTATAAAATTTAATACAGCAAAATTTGTTTTAACCTGATGAATTGAATACGCGCCATGTTTTCTCACATACTGCATTATCGGAGGCAAGAACTTTGTGAAGAGCCCCATCAAAAATTTCATATGCTCAGGCAGAAGAGCGTTTGATGGCAATCTTTGTGACCAAGACTTAACATAAGGTAGCCATCCAAGATTTTCAGGATCTATATAAACCATTCCACATCTCGAGACTGTAGCTGGAGATGCCTACATAAAATTGTTTATATCAAAATATTGCATCACTTGAAGTAATATCTGGTTTACCTGAGACAAATCCATAACTTCAAACACCATGTGGACCCAAGGCGTTAATTTTATTCTTTCAGAGTTTGCCAAACACAACATTTTATTATCGTCCAAAACGGTGTTCAGATTTTCAATCCATACTGCATCTACTGGACCATCGTTAATGATCCATTGATGAGCTTCTTCAGTGCTGGAACAAGCTTGTCGGACAGCAATTCCTATCCAACATAGCTAAATAAATATCTTATATCCATGTAATTGATTAATGTATTGGTACAGACTAAATTTATAATTTAATTTATTGTTGAGCCTACTTACCCATGAGCCCATCTTTCCACTCCAGAGTCATAGAATTGACTTCACCATACAACTCTGAGATGTGTATAGCTTTTGGATTCATCGTAAATTTATTAACAGGTCTGTAATATGGATCTGGTTCTTCCCAATCATATAATCTTGTAAGAGCATTTCCCAAAGCATGCAGAACTGTCGTTTTGCCACCACCTAATATTAATAAATAAAAAATACTCAATCTGCAGCAGAAAAAATTAAAAGTTTTATTTTCATCAAAAAGTAGTTCTCATAATCAGTGCTGTAGAATTTAAGATAGACATTATGTTTTTCACTATTACTCTTTTTTCTGTGAATTTACCTGTAGGTCCAACAAGCATAACACCCCAACGTACTACCATAGTTTCATGCAATTGGATTTTTTCAGAATGATACATTCTTCTGGTTGGAAACCATTTTCAGTCAACACTTCGACTAAAATTTAAATTCAAATAGTTATTGATAAGATAGAAAAATATGTTTAGTGAAATAATAGACTTTAACTTCAATTTTATTACCTATTGCCTTGAAAAGACTTCCGTGTTCCTGCACCGGCAATTCTAAACCAGGGAACAGATCGCTCAAAATTCCTTTGAACAATTCTGCATCATCAGCCAAGAATTTTGGTAAATTGGTATCTCTCAGAGCACAAATTAAGGTGACATCTTCTCTCTGATCTGGATTTGCTCTCTTTAATGCACCTGCCATTACCTATTCAGAGAAATTAATATTTAAGAAAAAAAAGTAGTGTTCAATACTATTACATGAGTATTTAGAAATAATTGTATTCAGTAGTCAAATTGCACAAAGCCCAATTCGAATCTCTATCAAAAAACTTACCAACACACTCTTGACTGCTCTCATACCAAAATCATAATGATCTTGTATAGAAAGTTGCTCACTGCACAATTTGTACATTTGCACCATTTTTTGTGCTAGAGGTTTCGAGGCTTCAAATCCTTCAGAATACAATATAACTTCTGCAATCAAGGCGTAGTCAGGAACCATCATAGCCATTGGACGGAATAAAGCCTAAATTAAAAATAGATCATTGTTTAATCAACATATCGTGGAATTATTGTTATATGTAAATCACTAATATTTACTTTTAAATTATCCGGCAACTCTGTTCTTCCTGCATATCCTGGATTCATGGTGATGAAAGCAGCACAAGATCTAACCAACTTGATCTCCCTTCCTTCAAACATAAATCTGGTCACACCAGCTACCTTGGCATTTCTTATGGTGACAAGTTGTTGAGCAATTACAGACAATACTTCTATATCAATTCGATTGAATTCATCAAAACAGCACCATGCTCCTGACTGTGCTAGACCACTGAAGAAACGACCCATCATTTTGTAATCCAAGCCTAAAAAATATATATAGAACTTGGTAAATAGACTATAGTATTTAATATCCAACCTTTATAATTTTATGTATTATGTTTACCCTCAGAACAGTTGAAAAAACAACGCACTGAACAGCCAAAGCTTTAGCCAAATCTTTAGTAGTCTCCGTTTTTCCAGTACCAGCTGGTCCAGCAGGTGCTCCTCCTAAATCCATCTGTAGGGCTCCCATTAAACATAAATAACAGCGATCAGTCAAAGGTGTTATAACGAGTACACCACCTGCACCCAAATATTCATAACTGTATGGAAGACAAGCACTGGACATTCTGGCTTCAATGGTCTCCGTTTGAGTCAACCAGTAGTAACGCATCATTTTGAGCCATTCGAAATCGTTTCTAGAAAATAAAAATTTACATCCAGCATATTGAGCATAAAGAGCATAAGAATAATTTGATCCAATAATACTTACGCTGATGCCACTCTATGCTTCACCATGTTTGATATATTATCTCTGGCATGTACATCAATGGTGATGAGTGCACACAGAATTTTTCTCAATAACTTGGAAATGTCTGTTCTAGCAAGTGCTGCCATAGATGTTAATTGATCGATATTTGTTTGCTCAAATAACTGCATTAATTTGACTCTATCTCCAGTAGATTCTAAAACTCTGTGGACGTGTCTAGCCCACATAGTTTGGGATACTATCAATACAATCTGCACAAGATGAGAGAAACTCTTATTTATTACATATGCAGAAAAATGATCAAATTGTGAATGCACAAAGTGAATGATAGGAATTGATAATTGAAGCAAAAATTAATTATTTTCACCTGATTCGGATGCATTGTTAGCCACTCCATTCGTTCCCTGGCATCATAATCTATATAGGCTGCCTTCATTCTGCGTTTCAAACTGGCAAACATAAATTCTTCCACCTTACCAAGCCAATCCTCCACACTTCCTCTAGCTTTCAGTCCCTGTATCATCATCACAGTATATCAATTGAAATACGCATAAAGTTACAAATTTTTAGAAGCTCCAAACAAATATCAAAGTCCAAATCAACATCTGGTCATTGTTACTTTTTATACTTGCGAATTGCATAATGCTGTTTTTTTCCTTATGTTTACCTTTCCAAGTGGTACTCGTTCTTCTTCTGGTGATATCATAGCAATGATATCAGTGGTCAGAACTTGAGCTGCTGCTGCAGGATCTTCTCCTTCTTCTGCAGCTTTCGAACCAAACTCCAATTTTGCAATTGCATCAAAGCATTTACGCAAATGTGGTTGAACAGCGTGAGGATTCTTGGTTTGAGCGAGAATTTCCAATAATTCGTCATTGGATAAAAAGTAGAACCTCGGGAATGCAACACGTTTCACCTGAAAAATAAAAAAAGAACAATTAAAAATTTTTTTGAAAACTTTCAAAAATTTTACAATTACCTCTAAGTATGCTTCTAAACATCTGGTAATGATATCTAGCAATTGATTATTTTTCTTAAAAGTTTCCAATACACCTGGACTGGTCATCGCTGGCATTGCCAAAGGTGTCTAAAATCAGACGGTCATTATTTATATATTTCATCGTTTACCCATATTATATTTTATTAAACCTTCTGAGTTCTTCTCATAATTTCCTTCCACGATTTGTCAACTATAATGAACAACTTGGCTTCCTTCGGTAATTGTCTTTGAATATCAGGGGCCGAAAATATGGCCTCCAGGTAAAGCCAACTTTGTTGGCATGTGTACCACTCGTCTAAGGTTCTTGAAAATAGATCTAAGGCACGCATCCACTCATCTACTCTTGTTTAATAGGTCCTACATGTCTAGAGGCAGCAATTGTGTTG